ACACACGCACGCACGCACACACATACACACAGTTTTTTTTAAGAAAATGCAGCTAAGCAATCCGTCTTTTCGATAAACTTTAATATGCCAATTGAGGAATTGACACGGTTTATATAAGTAATATCTTTAATCAAAAAAGAGCCCAGTCTTGTATTACACCATATTTCAAGTTAAAGACCACACCTTGTATATCCTATGAATATACATCGACTATTGTTTTTCAAACTTTTTAATTAGAAAAAAATTTGACATGTCCTGGATATCGAGTATCTAAAACATATAATCCTACAACGTGCTCATGTTCATTTTTACCCTTTAACTATTGTCCTGCTGGACACGTTATTACAGGTAACTTTATTATAATGAGGGCCTTAGCTCATTTATTTTTTAAAAAAAGACCTAAATATAGGGAAAGCCGATCCTTCATCTGGTGACAGAATTTCATAAATATTATTGATTCTGTTGAAGATAACACAAGGCGATTGGCTAGATATTATAAAGAAATTGACGCATTGTCAGAAGGAATTAAATATGTATCAGATCCATGTTAAAATTGCATTTAAAAAAATTGACGGGTAATATGAAAATCATCTATCCTTTTGTATTCATTAATCAAGAAGTGAAAAACCAACTAGATAGATTACATGATCAGTATGTACTGTACCGGTCTCTACCGACAAAGCAAGTAACAACATTATATCAAGTATATCAATTGTTTTTAAGAAGATCTTGGAATTAACTATAAAATAAATTATACTTCTATATATATATATATATACCAGGCTTTTTGATATCATCGAAAATTGCTCTTTTCAATAAAATAAAACTCGTCATATTATTTACCTCTTCATTGGTTATTTCCATGGTCATTAATCGTTTGCAAATTTATTTTGTTAAAATCATTCTGATTGTACACACAGCTACTCTGAAGTTGATATCAAAAAGATGCTTGAGTTTCTGATTGACTATATCTGAAAATTTTTTGGTTTTCAGATTGGTACTAATTGCATCTCGTTAATAGCAAAACCTATTTTTGCATTCATATGAATCAGAATTTGTGTAGAATTTGTGCAAGATCGTATGCAAAAAAAACAAACAAACGATTGATGTGGCCTTCAACGCGACATCTAGATATATCGATGATGTAGTGTGCTCCTTGTCATGATTGTGAAAACAGGGAAAAATAAGTATAAATAATTGACTAACAATTGAAAAGCGCACTTGACTCAATGATAAGTTGTATTTGCTGACAAGGTCATTGTATCGACCATTGAACTTTCGAAATGACGACTTTGAAGGAGAATGCTGATATTCGTTTTATCAACTTTTTTTGTCAGTAATTTTCATCGTTGCTCTTGCATATCGAATCAACTGAAGTGTGGCAAATCACAATCACACGGAAATCTTCTTTTATAATTTATTCTGACGATTAAAGGCAAATAACAAATCCACATGGGTTAACAATCACAATACCACATTGGCTAAGATGATCAGATGGTTTCTGATATGTATTCAATATTTCTTCAACGTAAATTCAATGTAATCTCAATAAACTCAATAAATCGATAATAATCAAGATCACAAAAACTCTCATATATATAGTATCGAAGAAACATCTGGAAAAAGAAACTTCTATTAAATTCTAGGTCAACACATTTTGACATATTCTAGATACGTCTTGATAATTAATTCACGAAACATATAGAACATTCTAGATTATACCTGTACATCATTCAATTTCTAGAAAATACATTAAAATTGCCACAATTCGCAACATGAAGTACATAAACTCCTTATGCAGGTGATGAAGGTATCTCCCTGCATAAGTAAGGCAAGTTGACAATAGAAAAATTAAAGTCATAACATTTATCATAGAGCTTAGTTGTTAGATTTCCATTGAGGTCTTTTTCAGTAAAATGTGTCATACTCCCTGGTGTCTTTATCACAAGATAACACAGACAATCGTATTGACATAGGAATGGAAATTAAAAGTTTTTAATGACAATACGTCGTTGATATATCCAAATGTCGAGTTAAAGGCCATACCAAGCGTTTTTTTCCCTATTCATTCATAAGAATGTCAACAAATTCTGCTACATATGAATACAAAATTAGGTTTGCTAATAACGGGGTGCAATTGGTACCCATGGGAATTCCAATAGATTGTTAGAAGACCTGGTCAACAAAAAACACAGATATTGTCAATCAGAAGCCCCAGAATCTTTTTGATGTCGACTTTAGAGTACTTGTGTGTACAATCAGAATGTTTTTTTACAAAATAATTTTGCAAATGACCAATGACACGTAAGTAATTTTACTTGTTCCATTTTTATTGAAAAAGAAGCCGTCAATTATATCGAAAAGACTGGACTCTAATTTATTGTGCGGATAGTTTTGTATAGAGTTGAAAATTCGTAAGTTTTTAAGCTGGGGAGTTTGGTAAAATCTTGTTATTTCAAATGGTCCAAAAATTCCTTGGCATTTTTAAGTATCCACATTTGATTTTCACCATTTCTTGAGTATATTGTTGCACAGTGCTCCTGAAGTTTCTCTTTCAATACTTAATATTTAAGTGAGGAGTAAAGAAAGTTTTATCGTCATGCATATTGATAAATTCGACAATTTATGTAAGGTTTTTCTACTCATATTATTTAGTAATAATTCTTAATAATGAAAATAAACATTCCCTTTTTTGTATGCTAATTCTTTTAAACGTTTTTTTTTTTTAAATAAAACAATTACAGTTAGTCTCTTTTATCTTAACTTATCAATGAAGACAGAACTAGATGCTACTTGCAGTACTTTTAATGTACGATACTTAACATGAAATCTGTTCACGGACATCATCTAACATGGTATCGACTGTATTCTTAAAAGAAGGAAGTAAGAACTCTGGTGCACCTTGTTGTTTTTTTTTTTTTGTTTTTTTGCAATTTTTATTCAAATATAGATAAATATTTTAATTAACGCAATATGGATATGCTTCGATATCAATTTGACTAATATGACACTGCAGAAATGGGAAAAAATTCTGTCCATTGTGTTACATTTCATCCCTATTTGAGGTAACCCTAACTATAGGGACTATTATGAATTTAAAAAAAATAATCCACATAATTTTGAATGTTGGCAAATTATTGGTCCTTTTGTGTTTCTGAAATTTCTAAAATACTACAACAAAGGAGTCATTCCGTGAGCTCTACTTACACCTGAAACCATAAGTTGAAAATTTTATTACTTTTATTACTTATTTTTATTGAAAATTATTACATTGGTTATTTCTATTCTTATATCGATACGATATATCCTGGTGAGCTTGAAATAAAAAATACTACAGAGTCTGACACATCTGTTTCATACTTGGATATTTTAATTGAAAAAGACATTAATGGTAACCTAACAACCAAGCCATGTGATAAACGTGATGACTTTAACAATATACCTTCATCAACTGCATACGGAGTATATACGAGGGACGTTCAGTAAATAATGTCAGCGGGGCTCGGAAAGAAACAAAAAGCCGCTTATCTATGATTTCATCTTAGGGATTTAACGAAAATATTCTCCTTTGATTGAAACACATGTCCGTACAACATCTGTTTCAAGCTCTATTATAAAGATGATGACTTAATTTTTCTATCGCAGCAATATCTGTATATCTTCATCGCCTGTATACGGAGTATATATATCTCAGTTGATTCAATAAACAAGAGCATGCTCTACGTATAACCAGTTCTAAAACAAGATAAATTATGGACAAACAAGTTGTTGAAAAAAGGATATCAGCAGTCTCCTTTCAAATCGTCTTTTCGTAAGTTTTATGGTCGGCACAATGAACATAACAGCAAATACAATTTATCCTTAGGTGAAATGGTGACGTTTCTCATACTTATTGTTAGTCCATTATTTACACAGTTTAATTCGATTATAGCGAAATCACTTTGACGTATGAAATTATTAGTCTACGTTTCATGTATATTCATAATTCTTTATATCCACATTCGTAATATCCGTGCTTGTAAACGAGTTCCGCTGTACACTGAATTGTCAACGGATTTTTCCGTTATTTCCCGATCGTGACAAGGAGCACACGGCAGAGGGGATGCTCACAATTCTACATTTAGATAGACACTTTATTATTCAAATCTTTCATAAAACAAACTTACCAATCCAATAGTTTTTTGAGGGATTCCCAAAACCTTGTTTATATTCTGACCACGTCCGATAAAAATCTGTAGACCCGTCTTGTCTTCTTTGTATTGCCTGAAACATTTAAGAATGCTCTCTCTTTTATTTACTTTGACATGAAGTAAGTTTCATAAAGAAAGGTGTTATTGTTAAGAAAGCATGGGAAAGTGTGCAGGTCTCTTTACAATTCAAAAGAGTTTTGCTGTTTGTAGAACAGATGACTTATTTATCTTACTGTCCATCCTCCCCCTTCCGTTGTCATGTCACAGTACGCAAACGTTGGCTTGGAGGTTATATTTAATGGATAAACCCCGTCTTTTCCCTGTAGACTCGGGTATTTTTGTAAAATGTTCCAGCAATCATGGAAATACCCTTCATGTGCTGTTTAAAAAAAGCAGTTCATATTTTAAAAATAATGATTAAAATATACATGTATATTAAACGCACAGCCATTGGCATGTTCATTATTTGTACAAAAAGACAGCACATTGAAACAATTTGCTGATAAAATCACAGATCATTACTGTATGAAGACCCAAATATTACAGTCTGTTCAATCTCTGATCTCAGATTCCCCAAATACACACAGGAAAAAAGAGTCAGAACACCTAGATTCTATATATTGAATCCAAAATCAACAATTGAGCAGTTTCTCCGGATTCACTGCATGTGAAATCCAACATTTTTATACCCCTGTAAAATAGTAAGTGGAAACACATACCGATTAGTCCACATTAATTTCATCACTTTGCATCTAATCTTACAGATTTAATTAATCAAGTAAACACACTTGATTCGACCTCATCATTCAGTTTCTGTCAATTCCATGCACGGAATGAAAATAATCGTCAACTCCCTTTGCCACACCATGAAGAAAATCCAAAGGATACAAGAACACAAACATCTAATTATGACAAAGACGAATCTCGACACTATAGTCCGCTTCAGAAGGGGAGGAGTCAAGGCAAGTTCCAATTTTCTGGAGAAAAACTGTCATAAATACAACCCAAGGGAGGTTCTTACTCAAATTGAAACAAGGGACTTACCTATAACAGTGTAAAAAAGGAAGACTATGTACATCTAGTAAGTCAATGTTCCGAATCCTGGGAGAACTTTCAGATGCAGTTATTTACAGAAAAGACTTTGGAAATAAAAAAAATGTTAAAGACAATGTGGAAATCTATTTTGCATGCAAACAATTTCCAGAAATACAAAATAAAGACGAATTTGTGGCACAGATAGCATGACTTATGATAAAATTAATCTTAACATGAAAGTGAGACTAACAGCTATAGTTAAACTCTTTAGGGGAGCCCTTGGCATAAAAACAGTGCCCAAAGCTCCATCAGTAACTCAAACATCTCCTACAAAGGAACAAACAGAAAGAAAAGGCCTCAACACCCCCTTGGATCAGCTCACAATCGGTGTCTCCATTCATCAAATGGCCTAACCCATGGACAATTCCTCCGCCTTTGCCACTCAATGGTTAATAATCTTATACTAAACAATTTTTTCATGTGTCTGTATATTTTAGTACGTATGTATAGATTTCAATACGCGGGTAGGTTGAGGTTACAACCAAATATTCTACTTGCCTATATGATATGACGTCATAATAAGCTATATGAAGTGAGATTTAGAGATAACAATTTCTTAAAATCGATATCTAAGATTGATTTGAAGTCGCAAAAATGAACCAAACTATGCAGAAGAATAATATCAACGGAATTTTGTCGTACCTGGACCTCTGTAGTTATCACAGGGGTTACATTCCAAACCCGTGACGTCATAACTGTTGATCATGCAGTAGCAGAAAGGGAAAAGTAACGAGAATTGATGTAAACAAACACAAGAAATCGGAGTTTAAAAGCATTAAGAATAAATATCATGTGTGATTCTTGTGGGAATAAAGCGTATGAATAAGGTATGGTAATATAATTCTGCAATTTCTTCGTTAAATTAAAGCAGGGAGGGTGTTTACTTGCCGATCAGCCTTTCCTCTGTTGTTCGTAACAAAAAAGATGCAAAACGTTTAACACTACGCCGCATACCTTGAAACTTAATTTTTATTTCTAAAATTTTTATTCTTTTGCTTTTGGAAAGTGCTGCTAGAATCGTATGGTTTACGTGAATTGATGTATTTTTTTTTTCGATGTTATGAACAAAATGTAAAAATTTTGGGAAGGTTTCGTCAGAAATTGTTGAATAATTATTTCTATAAGAGGACAGTAGGATTCTAGCAGCATTTTTCATGGTACAGAGATGTTTTTACATAACTATTGATATAAAGTGGAACTAATTATCCCCGGGGTAGTGTTAAACTTTTCACTTTTTCATTAAGGCATTTTTTCTAATTATAGACGTCACGTGGTGACGTCGTGGTGAAGTGCCTCCTGTAGTATAAGTCCCATTGAAGTCTATAGATTGCATAATTATAGGAAAAGTTTTATCCTTGACTTTTCCGATTTATTAGTGTTACATAATTATATAAAAGTGTTCATTCGCCGAATTCTGATCCATGTGCTGCCTTAACAAACCCGCGTACAGTGCTGGATCACATTATGTATATATGAGTGATATTTTTTTTTATAGATTTTCATGCAATAATATTCTCCATAGGCTTTGTTTGAGAAAAAAAAATCAGATTCTGTATCATGTGTAATCAACAGTTAAATTTAGAGTACAATGAACATTTGTTTTTGAAATTAGGTACTGTAGGTCACCAATTTTTCGCGACACCTTATTTTCGCGAGATGGTCATTGTCTCTTGATTAGCGAGACAAAATGTTCACGAATCGTGGTTACTGCTCTATATAATCTTATGGAATACTATTATACGCTAGAATTTAATTTTCGCGAGCACATTGTCTCGCGTTATTACGCAAAAATAAAGTTCTTGCGAATAAAAAGTGATTAACAGTATGTGGAATATTGAAGGCCTCACAAGTGAGGAGGTCGCTGACCAAGAATTTCAAATACGTATTGTTTCCAATTTTAGCATTATCAGTTTTGCAGAAGACTGGTTGGGTAATATTTGTGTTAATGGAGATATTACATTGAATGAATTTCAACTCGTTCACTTTAGCAGTAAAAAAACAGAGAAAAGGCAAGTCGATACTCAGGAGGAATATTCATTTTTGCAAAGAGTTGCTTTATGAAATGAGGGATATGGAGATTACAAACAGTAAATAAAATCATAAATCCATACAACAATACAAAAATAGGAGCAGATTAAACAAGGATTTCCAAAACATCAGAGTTTGGATCAAGTACCAAGGAAGAGTGAGCAACCCCTGCCAACAGGTCACACCCACTGTGTGCTCTTTGTCAATATCGGGAAATAACGAAAAAACCCGTCGTCAATTAAATGTATAAATAATGGACTAACAATTGGTATAAAAAATGTCAGTCAGGAATTGACTCAATGATAAACTATATATGCTGAAAAGGTCATTGTATAGTCCATAGAACTTACGAAATGATGACTTTAAATGACACTGCCGATATTCTTGTTTCATCAACTTGTTTGTAAATAATTTACATCGTTTAAGAAATTGTTAGAAAGAGCATGCTCTTGTGTATCGAATCAACTGAGATCTTATGGATCACTATATTTTCTCGACTCCTTATATTCGCGACTAAGTTTTTTGGTATTTATTAAAGGGAGAAAATTTTCGCTAGTTGTGGTTTCTGTTTTATATAAATATTAATAATAATACAAATATACGCAAAAATAGAATCTTCGCAAGACGGACCCGCATAATTACGCGAAAAATGAGTTACATGTCATAGATGTGTCCATCAAACGGTTTCAAAATTTTGTTATCTTGGATTAACTTTGAAATGCAATGGAAATCAGAAGTAATCTATGCCATTTCTTATGGAATAGGCAAGAAAAGCCTGTTTGAAGATTGAGAGAACAATTGGTTTTGATAATCCATGTGAAAATTTGCAAAAGCTTTTTAACTTAATTTTAAAACGGATATTCTTTATTGCTGTAAGATCAGGGTTATTTTAGGAATGTTTTTTAAGTTTTGTGTGAGTAATTGGTATGTTAATCACAAAGACGTGTCACGTAGGCATATTTAATGAAGCGCGCTGTTTCTTTCGTGAATAAGAGTCTATTTTCAACACTCCCTTTCCTCTCATTGATTTGACTTGTGCTAGTGACAGTTCAAGCTGTTGTTCAATTTTTATTATAGTTTTTTTAAGTGTGATATCCTTGCCTTGGTATAACAACCTCTCTTGCACAAACATTCAGACATGGCAGTAAATTGTGTACACAGCAAGGGCAGATAACCAAATTTCCGTTATTTGATAAGTCGTACATCAACAAAGATTAGAGTACATTACTTCTTTACTGGACTATGAAAATCATTTGATTGACTTGTTCCAATTATATTTATAAACTTCAAATGCTAGGAACACACATATTTGCATAGCCGTGAAGTTTTTAAACCTCGATAACTATTAAAACAATAATCTTACCTAAAAGACATTTTGATAACTTGGGCAATAATTAATTAAATAATGTTTGATAATATCACCGGAGGTGTGGATAGTGTGTGTTTATAATTCCCCCTTTCCAATTTATTTCAATTTTCCAATTTATTTTTTTTTGTCAACTCTTTTCCTCAAAATGATTCTGCTCTGTTATTATCTGCAGTGCATAGTATGATCATAATTACTGATAGCTAAGCTATTGGAGACTACACTTGTAGCTCATTAGTGTTAACTGAAAATTCCTTTATAAAGTTTTGAGCTGCGGTAGCAGTATTTACAATTTCTAGCGTTAGCTAAGTATTGGGCAACGTTAGTTGTCTTTTGCTTGCGTTAGCAAGTCCAAATTATGTTCTTAGTATACCTGACAGAAAATGCTTTGACAGTTTCAACGCGGAATTCTTATAACAGAGCCAAACTTATTTACAACGAATTCCTATCCAAGTACTTTCCAGGAAATCCAACGTTTCCAATGACAAGTGAACAGTTGGTTTTATTTCTTATTGCTATCAGAAAGAACTTTCACCTCAAACAGTTACCACATACATGTCAGCTTTGGCACATTTTCACAAAATGGAGGGTTTTCCTCATCCAACTCAAAATTTCATTGTGAAACGAACAATCCAAGGATTTTCAAAACTAAAAGGGATGCCAGATACTCCCCTTCCCATTACACCTGCCATACTGCAGAAAATCATAAATTCATTGCCTCAGTGTACCCAGTCATTTTATCAGAGAACTCTTTTTAAGGCAATGTTTTTATCAGCATTCCATGCTTTCCTTCGAGTGGGAGAAATTACTTCGACGACAAATAACACTAAATATATCAGCAGTGTCATTTGAGAAACAGCAGAATGGTGTACCAAAAAGTATGACTTTGACTATGGTTTATTTTAAATATCATGGAGAAAAACCAATTGTGACATTTCTTTTAAATGCTAACGAAGACAATTCTCAATTATGCGCAGTTTTGGCAATGTGCGAAAACATAGAATTACGAGGAGGTAGTGATGGACCACTTTTCATGTTTCAGGACAAATCACCAGTTTCAAGACATTATTTTAATCAGCAATTAAAGATATCGCTTAATTTTTTAGATTATGACACAAAACTTTACAAAGGACATTCATTTCGAATTGGTGCAGCTACATTAGCCAAAGCAAAGTGAATCTCAGATGAACAGATCCAGTTGCTAGGACGATGAAAGACAAATGCGTTCAAGAAATATATTCGGATTCCACTGTTGAATATCTAATTGAATTTGGAACTAAACAAAGAACAGTTATATGTTTAAAATTATACAATTCTCAATAACTTTTATGCCATAACTTAGAAACATGGGGACAGGGGCCTCTGTTTCAACTGAATGAAGTTGAATTGTAGCTGTTTTCGGCATATTATGTGTGTTGAATTATTACATTGGAACTCGGGGACAGGGGCCTCAGTTTCAATTGAATGAAAAAATTATAGCATTTTTAAGTGGGTTAATAACCCTATTCTTAGTAAATAATGTCTACTTCAGAAAGAAACATGGGGACATGGGCCTCTGTTTCAACAAGTTTATCACTTTGTTCAATTATGCTAGTTGTAGTTCTGCATGTATGCTGATGTCATGATTTCCTCAGAAGGATTCTGGGTGGGGGGTATTACTTGTTAAGTAATACTTTGGCAGAAGTTGATCCCTCACCTTTGATTTTCAGGGACACAATTTTAACTATAAGTAATTAGCATATGTTTTGTATTATTTTTTCATATTGTACAATTGTTGTGTATATGAAAAAGTTGATCGTCATTTTGCTAATAAATGACCAATTTCGATATTGAAAATCAAACAGAGCAGAATCATTCTGAGGAAAAGAGTTGAAAAAAATATACATTTATAGAAATAAATGCATTTTTGGCAATCTTCAATTGTTATTGCCCTTGGAAAACCACTAGGTGGCAGCAGCTGTTTTACTGGGCACTTCACCGTTAGGTGGTAGCTTTAATCAAAACAGTGTATTCTGAACGAAATTGAGAAAAGATGTTTTATCTTTAAATCCCTCTTATTTAAAGATAAAACATCTTTTCTCAATTTCGTTCAGAATACACTGTTTTGATTAAAGCTACCACCTAACGGTGAAGTGCCCAGTAAAACAGCTGCTGCCACCTAGTGGTTTTCCAAGGGCAATAACAATTGAAGATTGCCAAAAATGCATTTATTTCTATAAATGTATATATTTGATAAGCTTTCTATTACACTGTGCTTTACAAAAAAATAAAATGCAATCGAATATTCAACTAAGGAAAATGAATATTTTGACATCCCTAAAAATTACGCTCTGTCATTTTTGTTGTTCTGTATCTGTCTGTGTTCTGTATGTGGTAGAATGTCTGATTTGGTAAATAAAATTACACACAAGTGCTTATTATTATGTATTGTTAATACTCTCTTTCCAGCCATAAGATTAGGTTTTTCTTGTATAAAATATATTTAATCAATTAGACAGGAAAATTGATAATTTTGAAATGCATTTAGATTGAAACAAAAATAAATAGAAACTCTTTTCTTCATTTCCTACTTTTTGTGCAGTTACTTACCATTAGCCTGATATATGTAAGAAGAAGTTTGCATCCATTGTAAAGCCGACTCATTGCGATCCACACTAATTTCGTCAAGTGTTTCATTAACAGAGTCGGAGAAAATTCTAAACATATCCTCTACTTTTTTAATTTGTTTGTCAAAAGTTTGTTGTAAAGTCTCGTTCAACTTGTCAACATCATCTCGCAAAAGGTTATCATTTTGAAGATTCAACATTATGTTTTTGATCGTAGATTGAGAGCCATTCAAAATGTCTATATTCTTTTCAAGCACTGACATTCGCCTGTTAGATTTTTCACTTTCCTCAGTCATTTTCTGGTTTTCTTTCTGAAGAGCTATTTCTGATTCATTTAACGATATCAATTGTGCCATTATCCGCCGATCTTTTTTCTCCATAACTTGTAATTTTTCCAGTAACTTTCTTTTAAGGCTCCATATTTCTGTTTCGTTGAGATTTCTAATTTCTTCCATTGAAAGGTATTTTGTGCTATTTAATGTTGCATTCAAACTCTTCATTTCTCGTTTAAGTTTAGCGTTTTCTTCCTCGAGTCTCTGGCCTTTTGTCTCAACATTCTGTAACTGTTTTATCACATCCGAAAGCTTTGTCTTCATAACCTGTCTATCGTTTTTATTTTCCATGGCGTCCATAACCAAACTCTGTATTCTTTGTACCATTGAGAAACGAACAAGACTTTCCTGATTCAGAATTTCACGTAAGACATTTGACGCTTTACCTGATGCGGTACTAGGTAAGAGACCGTTTTCATCAAAGGTCCTGTTTTGAAGTAATGATAATTGTCCGAAAGTTTCGGCCATGTGCGTGGAAAATATAAAACATATAACAAATAAAGTTCCCATCACTAAAGTTAAAGTGTTTTCTTCAAGTGAGGAATGGTTTGTTCGGTAGAATTGGATTACCCTTATTTTAAAGCACACTAGACTCTGAAAAGTAAAAATTATAAGCGTGCGTAGAAAAAGTATCATGGCGTATATTTTCTAAATTTTGATTGGTTGTCGGTTTGATACAGGTTTATGTATCGGAATTAAGATGGGATTTCTCTCCTCCTCTCTTCTTTCTCTCTCCTAACACACATGTCTGGTATTTTGTTGTTAACACTTTAAGAGTAAATAAATTATAATAAAACTTGTTTGTTTCATTATAAGTTTTTGTCTTTACGACGTTTAATCGTATCGCAAAGTATCTAAAAAGACAAGTGAAAATATGCCAGCAAAATTGTTTCAATTAGGTATAAAATTAAGCTGGTCTTACGCAGTAAGTGATGAATGATAAAGTATTAATTATTATGTGCAGTCTTTATCAAATATAATTATACTTGAGAAAATGTAGCTAAATTTTTTTGTGTAAGATAAATATTTTTATTAAAAAGACATTCCTTATACGAATGGAAAAATGGTCTTCATGGATAAAAAGAAAGTTCGTATCATCAATAAGAAATTAATGTATTTTTGTTGAACTTTTAAAACAAATAAGGGAAGAATTATGCTAAATAATCCTGAAATGGTCTGGAAAAAGGAAAATAAAAATAAATAACGCTTCTTCATTGATACAACGTAACTGAAAAATTCGTGAACATCGTTTTACTTGTTAAGATTTTTATATATGAATTATTACGAGGTTTTTTTTGTTCCTTTAAATCTTTAAATTTTCCAAAACTAGTTTTACTTGAGCCGTATGTGTCATATGAAAATACTTATATTGTGCCTTCTTGTGACCTCTAATTCTGTATTGACATTGATTTTCTAATATTTCTATTTCTACCTGTATTTTTAAGAAGAAACAAAGACATAATCATTTAGCATCACCAGAGGACAAAATAATGTTGTTTAGAAAAATGATACATATATTTTCCGGAGTTGATTTTTAAAGATTATTAAAAGTGTTTGATGAATAATAATCATATAGTAGTTCTAGGAGATCAAGTCTTTCGACAATATGTTGGTATTCCCATTGGACTAATTGCGCTCCATTATAAGCAGATCATTATTTGGTTAGCATATGATGCAGAATTTATCTTTTAGAAATTGCAATGGCCTTCAACTTAGCATTTAGATATATCTACAACATTTTATCAATTAACAACATACATTGCTACGTTTATTCCATCTCAAAACAAGACATTCCAGCCTCCAACATCTGCTTGTTTTCTCTTTTTTGATATTTTACTAGACAGTAAAAGAAATTAATGTATACATATCAGAATTGTTTTTTATAAACCCGATAACTTCATTTTTTATTGTTTTATCTTTGCATTATATATGTAGCAATATACCATTATTACATGTATATGGAGTCTCCCAGTTGACTCGATGCGCAATTAGAGCATGCTCAATTGCGGACAATTTCTACATGTAAAATGAGTCAAACTATTGACAAATTAGTTAAAGAAAAAATTGCAAAAATTCTATAGTCGATACGTTGAACTTAAAAAATACAATCTGTCTTTTAAGCTGAACACGACTAGTAAATAGGTATACATCATTTTCGATAATACTATTATCTACAAATGCAAAGTCAAACTAGAGGCTCTGTGAAAACTGAGCTCACTAAATGATACCCCTGCCTCCCATATGGTCATAACGGCAAAGTCCATGTTTTGCTTTGCGAGACCCGAAAAAAGTGTCAGATCAAAAAGTAAAATGGAAGGTGTTAATTGTTATCATTTAATAAAGAATTTATGAAAGTGTCATTAAGTTTTACGCAGTGGTATAGGACGAGGTTGCAGATAAGAGATGGGTACCCTTCAACAATATAGAAAGAATTGCAATGTTCATGTTTTGCTAAAGGAAACCCACAATGCTTGTCAGATCAAAAAGTAAAATAGAAGGTGCACAATGGCACAATGTATGAAACAATATTTTTGTAAATATTTCATTAAATTTTATTTAGTGGTTTAAAAGGAGTTGCAGATCAGCTATAGGTACCCCAAAGTGTAACAGACGGACGGACGGACGGACAGCTAAATGGTTCGCGACGATTAATATTCGCGCGTTAAGGTAGGTCGCGGAAGTCACGGATATTCTTGCACGCAAATTAAAGTTGGTTTACAATATTGAATGAGAGAGTATCGTAAGAAATTAAGAAAATGGAATCATTGATGTGTAACCATATGCACATTTTTACAAATTTTCAAAGTATTTTCTTTCTCACTGTAGGGCATGATCGGAAAAACTATCTACTGAAGAAACTCTGTTTAGATGTACTTTACACATTACAAGACCGCCGATAAAATGAAAAATTTTATTCCCCATTTTCAAGGAATTCATTTTTAAAGCTAGATTTTGAACTTTATGATATTCTTTCATAATTACTTAGAATGCTCACTGTAAGAATCATATTACCTATTACATTGGCAAGACTATCGATATTTTCACACCTTTTAAATTTTGATTCCGCGCAGAAACAATGTACTGGCTTAATTTTTCTGGTGAATTTCACTATCAGTAAACGATCAATAGAGATTAGTTACGCTCTGTTGTACATGACACCTGTGCTGTGAAATGATTTCAAACTGCGTAAGACAATACACATTTCTGGTCAACTTAATTTGTTTGCCTGTATATAACAGAGAAATTCTGACAGCTTTAATAACTTCAGCAAGTAAGTTATCTTTTGATTAAACAAGTGTATTGAAAAAAGGGGGAGGGAGAAATACACTGCTGATCATTGCTTGAATTTATTAAAGAGAGTTTTAGGGGGAATTTAATGATAAACTCTCACTGAAATATTTTTCTAAGCTGTTTTACGATTCAACCGTCTTTTGTGTGTGTTTAGGGAAAGAGAGGGGTTAAAACAAATTATAGTGAGGCACATATATTTCTTCAATTGATAATAAAAAGTTTCAAGTAATACCAGTACACTTATGAATGTATTTGACTTCTTAAAGTGACTTGTATGAACATAAACATGCACAAAACCTTTTTGGAATTCTTTGATTTTTTTTTAATTTAAATAAATTAATGTATAGACATATGAAAAGCTTTTGTGAAAATAATGTTTTATTCTCTAATTGTTAATTAATTTAGTATAAAATGTTGTTTATTTATTGACTGATTGGCTAATTTGAGGGGAATTGGAATAAGAGGCTATATGTCTTAAGTGGCCAGTTTCCAAACTCCCCAAAAGTGGCCTCTTAAAACAAGTTTGACTGCATTAGTTTAACTCAATTTTAGGGAATTTTGTAAGCAATAAATCATATTTTCAGATGGCAAATAACATCAATGATCTTTATTTATTGCGTGTCAACTGTCATAATATTTATCTTAAAAGTTTGCAATTGAGATGATTGTCTGGGAATGCATTTTCTTTTTAAGATATCAATTTGTTAAATGAAACATTTAACAAATTTTCGAATGCAGTAATTAGTGCCTACATCTTACAAAAGGAATTTTGTTATTTAAATCATAAACTACATATTCAAGAAACTTGCTTTTCAAATGCAATTAGCGCTTACTGAAGAGCTTGCTTTAAATCTTAATTAACTGAAAGGAGGCAATGAGCGCATTTAATTATGTAATTAACCTGTGTTCTTTAAAGTACGATTGACATTGAAAACCTCACCGCATTTTGAAAGTGGAACAGACAGAATTTCTCTCTTCGTATGTATTTGTGTTATTGCATTTCAGTCTAGATTTCTCTGTCATTAAAAGTGTTTCCTCAAACTATTTCATTTGTTTCACATTATCATGTGCACTCTTTCTTTCTTGAACTAATAAAAATTTGAAGCTGAAAAACTTTTACCGGTGATTAAAAAATACTCATAGGCTTACAAACCTTTTTGGAAGGAGGCGCGGGATGAATCTCTGATTTGCTCGCAATTGACATCTCCGAGAACGTGTATTCTTTTAAGAATCTACAATCATTGCTTCCCTCGTGAATTCAAAGATTTTACATACATTTACCTGCAGGATTCTGTATATAATTCCCGTAATTATTATCAGTACATTATCAGCTGTAGTCCGAATTTTCTGATGTTTTCCAGGCTTTTTCATGATTTTGATATTTTATGTGTCAGGAAAATGTCAGAGCTGGCGCCATTAAGAAAACTAGAATTTTTGCCGTCTCTAACCTCAGTTGATTTTCGACACTTGCGAACTGAATAAAATGCCGAACTCCCAATTTATCAATAGTAGAATGCAAGTAGTACTCACCAATATTGAAGAAAAGAAACATCACTCCACCTTTTGATACATGACTTGCAAGATTTTAAAATGCACGAAATGAAAACAATTCTCTACAGTCAGATAAAATATTTTCATCGGATTGTACATTTTATAAACGAACCATATAAAACGATGCTGATGAGTACCAAAGGTATTGTTCTTTCAATAAATAGTGAGTTTGTCATTTAATTTGGTTCGCAAGCATAGAAAATCTACCCGAGAATTCCGCATCCGTTTGAGACGGCGAATTCCCAGTTTTCATAATGGCCCCGGTTCTGACGTTTTCCTGGTGACGTAAAGTATCAACATCGTAAAAATAATCAGGAAAACGTCAAATATCTCGGACTATATCAATTGAAAACTTCAAATGAAGGCTTTAAAATGTATGTGAAGTAGTGAGGATTTTTAATAATACATCTATTTTTTTTTTAATTTTTAGATAGAGGATTAAACTTCACATCAAATTATTGTTATAAGAAGTCCACAGAGCAAGGTTTACACAGTATTATATCCTGAAACATATACAACAACAAATGAAGGCACAAAATATAATGTTAAGATATGTTTTACTGACAAGTTGGATACATCTGCATCTTGAGATAAAATTCCATTCCGATTCAGCAGTATCTACAATGTTTATTACTTAAATATAATTCTTCAAACTGACTAGGGCTATATGACTGAGAAAGA